TAGATTCATGTAGATAATCAGAAAGTCAAGACCTCTTTGTTGTTTTGTTTTGTTTTTTTATTGTACCCGGGATCAAACTCAGGACCTTTCGTTTTTGAGGCAGGCTTGGTACCACTGAGCTAAATCCCCAGCCCAAGACCTCTTAAAGGAAACTGTTCCTTTTTTGAATCCCTGCAGAATGTTCCTGGGACTGGCACTTTCTGGATATGTAGCCTCAGTCTGGATCCTTAACCTCTCAGTGCCTCAGTTTCCCTTAAGTGGAAATGGGGATAGTAAAACAAATACATCATAAGATTGTTGTAATCTACCATTGAATCATTAAATTTAACTTTAATTACACAGATAATACATGCTCATAAGCCCACTGGAGGAAAACCAGAGAATACTATAAAGTTTAAAAAAAAAAAAGAAAGAAAAGAAAAATTAAGGTCACCCTTAAACCCAGTAATCAGAGGTAGTCATTAACATTTTAAGGATGCCTTTCTGTAAACAAAATAGATCATATTGTACATATTATTTTGTAGTTTCCTTTTTTCTATGATTGATAAACATCTTCCTAGGTTAATAAATATGGGACTTTCCCACCCCCTCTTTCTGGTAGGGATGTAGCTCAGGGCCTGGAATGTGCTAGATAAGCATTCTAGCATCGGGCCACATCTCTAGCCCTAAATCTCATTATTATCTTTCTTGGCTGCAAGATAAACAAATAGCTGGGTGTGGTGTCGAATGCCTGCAATCCCTGCACGCTGGAGGCTGAGTAAGGAGGACTGTCATGAGTTCAAGGCCAGCCTAAACTACATATTGAGACCCTGTCTCAAAAATAAAATAAAAAGATAACAAATAATAACCACAGCAAGCATGTTCATCCTTTGTGCCCTCTCACTCCAAGCCTTAATTTTCTCACCTGTGAAAGAAGCAATTCACAGGGCTTTTTTTTTTTTGGTACCAGGGATTGAAGTCGGGTCCTTGCGCAGCAGGTGGCAGAACCACTAAGCTCAATCCCCAGCCTTTCACAGGGTTTTTTACCAGATGAAATGAGGTAATGCTTGTAAACCGGTGAGCACAATGTCTGACAGGAAATCCACACCCTATTAAGATTAGCCATCCTTACCTGAGTTTGATCCTCGGTACAAAAAAAAAAAAAA